TTAAAAAATTGAACATTCTCTTCCTTTTATACCATTTAAGGTCCATGGACATGTTATCCATTGACCTTAATTGTTTTGTCACCTCTGCGAGCTGACATAACTAACTGCAAAAATCAAGCAACATCAGATTCAAGTATTGACAAACCCGGTATTTTTATGTACGTTTCAATGTTAATGTGGCCCAAAAAAAATTCCCGGGGCAACGAATCGCAGTAAAGTGAAGGATATAAGAAAAAGAATCCCGAAGAATGCTTTTCAGGATGTTAGCACAGTAAAGACAACAGTAGTAATAGAAGTAGGAAACATTAAGACTACGTGAAAATAATTACATGAAGAATAGAATGTCGACTCGAAATTCATCAAATGTATTTTCAAGCAATTAAAAGTGATTTGTTACACAGATCTATTTTCAAATGATATGTAACCAATTGATATATCAAGTTGATTATCAAATTGTCAAGTTTCATAATGAATGACATGAGATATATAATAGGAAGTAATTTATAGATGATGTTAGGTTTATTTTTAATCTGAAATTTGATGGTAAATAAATATAATATCTTTAGCTATCATACAACAAAGTATAACCATAGCGTTATAAATATTATTCATAACTATTCATAAACCATAAATTTCATTGTGAAAATTGTTGAGTTTTTTTCAACATTTGGATAAAACACTATTTTTATTCTTAAAAATTCACTAAAATTTCATTTTTATTTCTTTTGATCAAAATATGACAATAAATAACAAAGTTTTCAATAATTCTTTGCAATTTCATTTATAATTGATCTATGTGATGAAGTTGACATGTTTTATCAAGTACAAAACCTGAAATGTGATAAACAATGATAAGTTTCATAAATTCAACAAGTTTAGTAAATCACTTTTTACATATAATTATCATCAAAATTACTATCAAAAATTTATTCACTGAAGTTAATAGATGTGTTGATAGAAACATCAAATTTTTATCACATATTACTAAAATGTTTTTTATAAAACATTGTGTTACTGATAAAAATTTATTACTGACAATTATTTTAAATAAACTCAAATTATGTTATCACATTATTACGTATGTCTCATAAAAATCAATTTTTAAAAGCCTTATCTTGATAACTTGAGATTTTTGAAATTTAAATATATTGTCATCATAATTAACTTGTGATCATACTTGATACTAAAAACTTTATTTTATCAAGAAATTATATTAAATTAACCATGTCATTTTTTTTTCAAATAGTACAATAACATGCCAAAATTTGTATTCATAGTTATAGATAACGAAAAATTCAAATTAAAAAGAAAGTGACATTTTGGTATAATTTTGTGTGTGTTAAACTTGATTGTTATCATTTCATTAATAAATTATGTATTTTATCATGCATTCAAAATCAATAAAAAATATAAAAAAACTCATAATATTATGTATATAAAATTTGTAATAAATTTTAAATTTTATTGAAAAATAATCATGTCAAATGATGTATGTATTTATGTCAAAAATATCTATGAATTTGAAAACATCGTCAATAATTTTCTTGAAATCACTAGATTAAAAAAAATTATTCTCTTAAAAAAATTAACATTACGTGAGTTTTTATGATGTATTATAATCAAAAATAAGTTTTTTTCAACAAATAATATAGTGAAAAAATATTAAATATTTAAAAGATAAATCAAATGTTTAATTATTATAATTTGATTTTACTATGTTATAGTAATCAAATGATTTTTTTAACGGCTTACTATTATAAAATATTTGTTTTTTATAATAATTTAAAAAAAAACTTTGAATATTTCTTTACAAAAGTGTTTGGAGCAAATTTTGTAATAATTGTAAGTTAATGCAATGAATTATGAAAGTTTCAAGGTATTGATTAAAAATATTTTCAAAATATTAAATCAACTGATAAAATATTTATTTGATCAATATAATATGTTATATTAAGTTTTGAATTTACAAAATTTGATTTTTCATAAAAAAACTCAAATTTTGTTTAAAAATTGAGTAAAAAATATGATTAAAATTCATTAATATTAATAGGGATACATATATAATTTATCAAAGGATCAAAATTGAGATCAATAAAAAAATCAAATAAATAATACTAGTAAGTTTAAGATCTGATTTCAAAATATTTGTTAAGATGAAATTTAGATTTATAAGATCTAAAATGATTCTTATTTATTAAATTTATATAAAAATATAAAATAAGATAACATTTTGTGCAAAAATAAAATCTGTTTCGATCTAAGTTAGCTTTGTCATACATTTACAATTTTTATATGTGATATAGTTAATTGTGAAACAAAAATTTGACAAGAAAATTTAAAAGCTTGTATAACGTTCTTATATGAAATTTATTAATTTTTTGTCCAAAAATAACAATCTTGCTATGTGAGGTAATCAAATTTGTAAACATTAAAATTCACAAATGAATTTCATTCTTTTGATTTGTTGAAATCATGCTCATTCATGTTTCAAAATGATAATTTTTTTTAAATATACACTTAATATATAGTTATATAATGTTTTTTTAGTGATTTCTTCCTCTTTTTTGTTTATTTATGACTTAATTTGTTCCCGCTTTGTTTTATATTTATAATTTGATTTTGAAGTGTTAATGCTCTTATGTATGCTCAAATGTGAGCATAAATTACAAATGATCAAACATTTCATGATTTTTTTATTTAAAAAGATTTAAAATTTTTAATTTGCTAATTGCATGGAATAATAACAAATTTTAGTTTGGATTTGTTAACATATCATGAGTTCTTAATTTCATTGTGATGCAATTCTAAATTTCAATATATGTTGAATTGTTGTATTGTTGTAAATGATATATTGATGTCTTAATGGATTTTAATATTTATTGGATCAAATATTTGGGTATAAATGTATTTATCTTGAATGAAATATGATAATGATTTGGGCAATTAGAATTTATTAAAAAATCTTGATCTTGAATCTATAAATCATAGATATAAACTTGATCTTAGTTTGGATTGAGAACTCACGTTTTTTCTTTCCTGTAAAACATGGATAATATGTGTGAATCACACATTTTTTTAATTGATTCTCATTAAAATCTGATTATCAATTTAAATGATTTTGTAAAGTATACATGAATAGATTAAGCAATATAGATGTATCAACAAAATCTTATGTGCATTTAGAGGTTTTGCTTATGTATTATTACCAAGCTTTCTAACCTGAAATAAAATTTTTTTTCATGATAGAATTAGCAATAGATAGAGTTTCAAACAAAAATGGAGTATTTGAAACAATATTAATAATCCAATTACATCGTCAGTACATCAGATTTTGTGTTAAATGGAGTGAGTAAATCTTTACAAAATCGAAGGTCACATGTTTCAATTATATGTTAAACTATTTTTCTCTATTGAGATGGCAAAAGGATGAGGCTTGACGAGTTGCAACAAATGCAACTTTTGCGACATAAAAGTAAGATTAATCTTTGTGAATCATATACTTGAATGTGTACGTTGATGGATTTCACAATGGGATGATTGAGTCACAAGATGTATATTATTGATAGTCTACATTATATAACTTATTAAGACATAAGGCAGAGAACTGTTTGGAACTGTTTGGAACTTGGAACGTTTGGAACTGTTTTTGAGAGTGGCGACACTTCAGATTAGCAAAGATTTTACCAACTACATCAGCTGCTTTGCATCATCTATCTACAACACATACTGGAATGATTTTAATAGACAAGATTGATAAGTTCCACCATCTTGATGAAATTGATGTATGATTGAGACCGATGCCATCATTTCCATATCAACAAACATATGCTCTCAAGATATTTTAGATAAAAAAAAATTCATCTAATTCTATTTAGATGAATTCTATTCTAGGTAATTCTATTTTAAATCTCCGTTTGTTCTAGCATCTTGTTCTAAAATTAGGTCTGAATAAATTGAACTAGTATGCCACGACTTTAAGCCAATCAACCAGACCCATCTACAACGATTATCGATGAGGAAAAAATGCATCTATGCTAACAGCAAATATAAGTTGTTCATGCTTTCGTTCCGTTTATACAAGTAGGCTCAAAAAGCTATCGAGTCACATCCTACAAATTCAGGTTAATGTTCAAAACACACACAGAGGTGAGTGGTACTAAGTATCATTATGTAATCTATTTTCTTAAGCACTCATGCTAACAAAAACCGGTTGGGATGCTATGGGAGTATGGAGACACTTTGATCTCGATAGTTGGGATATAGTCTATACAAAAGAAATTTCCCTTTGCGATGCTATTGGTTGGAGCTCATTCCCCCAATCCTGGTTTTCCCCAATTTTTTCCATCTATTTCGTCGTAGATATAGAAGAAGAAGACTCGCTATAACCGTCAATATTTAGTGTTGTAATAAATTAGTAGAAAAAATATAATATATTTTATGGTTATAGCGAGTGCTCTTCCAGCTAAATGGAGAAGAAAAAAAAGCCTGTTCAAGCCCAGACGACAAGCCCAGAATACAGAGCAACAAATATTCGGTGAGTGGCCGGGAAAGCCTCAATGTGGCCATTCCGGGCTTCGTCCCTCGCACGAAGCCCGGCCGACATTCCGAACGTCGTCCCCGTTCTGAGAGCGCCTTGTGGTCCATGTCTTTCGCTGGTCGGACTGCAGCCTCAAACGAGACTCAGAACGCGCCACGCTGGCCGCTCGGGTGGCCGCCACGTCCACAGACCAGTGCAGTCCACACTTCCTCGGGCTGGATGGACTCGATTCTGTGGGCCTCCCTTCCGGTGAGTTGTGAATCTCTCGTTCCATTGGCGTTGCCTTCCGGTCCTAATGGAGCCGATTAGCAGGCTTCCTGCGCTAATTAAATCTGATTACAGCTGCGTAATGACGGCCTTCGTGTGCTGCGCTTGAGCTTTAGATCATGCTTAGCGGCACTAAATGGACTTTGAATCGCCTCGACGACGAATTAAGCCCTGATCTCGTCACACGGGCCACCACTGGAAAATTGCGTTGCAGTGGCTTGAGATCGGCTGAGAATCGCTGCGCACCGAATTCCGAGTGCTGTGCAATTCGGCTTCGGCAGCCGGAGGCGCAGAGCGGATTCGGAGGGCAAGTGCACGGAGGTGTCGGAGCTGCCAGAGGAAGTGGGAATTTACTCGTTCTCGCACGCGATGGCTGCAATTTCTGCAGCCCCGTGTGGACTATGCGGAGCGAGCGATCGTTTGAGCAGCCGTGCTGCCTCGAGAGGTAGCCAGCCGGTGCACGGGGGCATGGGTGTACAGGTGGGCAAGCAACCGAGTGGCATGCGAGTGCGAGCGCAAGCGAAGAAATCCGGAGATGGGGAAGAAAAGGAGAAGGAGAAGAGCAAAACGTCCTTGTTCACGAGCATAACTGATGCGCTGGATTTCGCCCAGACGAGGTCCGAGAAGGATGCCGAGCTTCTGGAGGACGCTCGCTCTGCCACCAAGTCAGGCGAGAAGATGAGCCGAGAACAGGTACGCGCATGTGACTGACTGGGCGATTTCATAATTCACAAATCTGAGTTCTGTAAACTTCGAATCTTCACTCTGGAACAGGTCTTTGAATGGTTGTAGTCCGCTGACGAGTTTTGGGGGCAATTCTCAAGAGGATGGCTACTTTCGATGTGTCGGATTGTCTCCTAGCAGTACCAATAGTATCTCCTAGTTTCTGGCTACAGATGTTTATGCTTTCAGCGCATCACCATTTGGATCTTACGGAGTCTGAATTCCTCCTGGCTGTTTCACCTCTCCTCAACGGGCTACACTCAAAATTACGAGGGAACCATGGTGATCTTTGTTGAAATTCCGTTCTCCCTGTCATCCCTTCCTTTACATCGTTTTCCCGTTTCACTGTTGTTTCGTACCTCCATGCCATCCCAATTCTGTATGTACAGATCATGGATAAAAAATTGAGGATAGAGCCCATGCTACTGGCACCACCCTTTGTCCTTGCCCGTCGGCCAGACACGTTTCTGTCCAATGGCGCACTGGCAGTAAGTTCCACCGCTGCTCCATCAGCGCCTGACTTATGCCGCAATCTGCTGTAAGTCAGGGTGACGTCTCCGTTCTGTTCTCATCCCCGTGCATCATGATTTCCCGTTCTTCTCACGGGAATTCTAGCGTCAATTGTGTGCTCTGAAGCTTGCGGTCACACTCGAAAGGGAATTCCGTAGCGTAAGCTGAGCGAGAACTTCCCCACGCAAGCTTGGCTGACGATGTTTCGTGCAGGGACGGACCGGATGAAGTGATGCTGGATCTCGTGGTTTTCTCGATACTTCTTCATGTCTGCTGAGGAAGAGGCAGTCAGTGGAGAGATAACACAATGGTCGATGATGATGATGATGATGCTAACTCAACTCTCGTGGGATGGCAGTACGGTGCCTTGAGAAGGAAAATCGGCGGAACCTACAAGGACTTCTTCAAGGACTCGATCGATGGTGCGTTAATTCTCCCTCTCGACTCCTCCGATCCCTGAAAGAAAATGCAGATTCTGGGAACGTGGACCAACCTCTGTCAAGCCCCCAAAGTATTTTTCCGTGCACGAGTTAAACGTGATAGATTGCATGCACTTCTCTGTTGTCTGAATCGTTGGAACTCGGCGATAATGAATTGCGGATTCGCTTACACTCATGGCCGACTGGCAGTTATCGGAGACTACGTCGATGATGGGTGGGTCGACAAGAAGTGCCGCTACTGCAAGAAGGACACCAGCAACGATGCTCGAACTGTCGACAATATGGGACGCTATGCGCACGTAGCGTGCATGGAGAAGGCCAGCAGCGGCAACTTTTTCTCGCGCCTCTTCGGAAAATAGATCATCGCTTCTCTGATGGATTTGGCAAGGTCTTAGCTCTTTGTCACATAGAACTCTCTTGCTTGCTGGCTCGTGCTTGTAATCAGATATTCAAGTCCACATGGCTGTGTGTACCAGGTGGGCACAATCTGCCATCAAAATAGGACAGAGCAGGCCATTTTTTCGAAGCCCATGACCCTTGTGTCAAAGCCTCTTAGTGCAGCAAGATGAGCGCAAGCATTGTTCACACACGTCTCTCCTCAGTCTGAGCAGTACTGCCTACCTACCAAATGTAGAAGCTAATCCTGAACAGTCGGGCTTATAGTCGAGGCATAATGTCGGAACGTAAAGGATCACCATTCAGTTCGAAGGACTTTCATGTTCCGTGGTTCTATGTATCTTTCTACCACCTGAAACTGGCTACTCCATATTGTAATAAATCCTCATCATACTCCACTCCTGAGTGCGTTAAAAGCATGAACTGCGACACGTTTTCTCATTTGCAAACATCGATTGTTGTTGCTTTCGTTCGTGTCCACTGAGTCCAATTAAGTCCAGACGTGGTTGTCGGCAAACACGACTGAACCAACCGAATCAGGTGTGATTTGTGTAAGTATTCACCATCAAGGTCTCAGGTCCGGCTTACTGTGAGAAAATATGGGAGGAGAGGGAGTCTTGCAGTATCACTCGTTACAGAATACTGTGTTATCAGCGACACTATTTCTTTGCTTTCCAGATAATACAAAGGCAACTCAGCAACGAAAGCATGCATACCAGTGAAAAGTATCTAAATTCATCTCCACTGGATTCCAGAATGAAAACACTGTCCAGATGAATCAAGGCGAGACCAACAAGTGTTGACGCACGGAGCGTTAACACGTTCTTTTCCACCAAACCCCCGTACAAACTAAAGGATGCGATGAGAAGGTTGGTTCATATACACATCCACCGGACATATGTCGAATGATAATCCAAACAATCGAACGTGACGGGCATTGTGTATCTCGAGAATCAGCCGTCGGGGCAACGTGGTACATAGGCTTAAACATCAGCAGCAGTCCACAGGTACTGAGAAAATGTGTCGAATAACACATCTGGAGTCAGAAGTGGGAATGTCGCACTTTCAAAACGTGTGATAGAGGAAGATATCTCCAGCGCAGCGGTCCATGGTCGGAGACATGATTACGACCATATAAGCTTCTTCCTTGTAGCTCCCAATGAAGAGCGAGAAAAAAGAACGGAAAAAAAGATAGTGAACTCGCAAATTCATCTAGTGTTCCTGAAAGCATCTTAGTTTTTTCTTGTAGTTCGTAGACTAAATACTCATGTTAGCTCAAGATTCAAGCACAAGAATGTAAATTCTCAAGTACATAGGGAGCAATGTTAGCTTGTTATTTTCTAGTCAGCGATTGTTCTCGTATATCGAGGTAGGTTCGGAATAAGCTGATGAGAGAAGTTGCTAGAATGGAACACAGAGGCGGTTGAGAACGACTCCAAGATTCTATAGTAGACGGTGCAATGATAATCTTACAGGGTTTGTTGCCACAGACTATTCCCTATGTCTGCAAACGGTTTACAGCTCTTTGTCTCTAGAACCAACTGGCGAACAGCTGGTTCTAGACACAGCAGCTGCTATGGCCTCAACTACACACCTGCGCTGGTGTAGACTACAACAAGGATCAAATTTCCGCAGAACTGGAGGGAACGCTTTGTTACCTTGAAGACAATAATACAGAAGAGCGCTGACTTTGCCGGAGAGTGCTGCATCGTCAAAACCAGTAGGACCCGGAGAAAAGTTGGCACTTCAGTGAAATGCATATAGGTTCTATGAATGATCAGGTTTCAAACCTATGATGATGTAGATTCGGTGAAAGATTAAGATTGATCGACTCCGAAGGCATGAATATGCATGAATCTCCACCAAAACACTGAGAAAACACTACCGCTATTTGTCTGATCCTGATCCTGAGTCCAGCCCCTGAGGCTCTACGATTCAGTTCTTTGGACGGCTATTCGTCTCATCGATCGTTTCATGTAATATTCCTCGACTTCATCGAACCTTAAACCCCGAGCATCGAGCCATACGAGCTTTGAAAACATGTATTATGTGATTCCATGCTAATATATTCATTTTGACGCTTCAATACATTTTTGCACATAAGAATAATAACAGAGTCAGTCTCTTGCAGTATTCAAACTACCGAGCACATTCAGCGTTACTGTTGAAGTAGGCAGATTGCAGATTTCATTGCATTGTATTGATTCGTAAAATGACGTAGAGAGGGGACGTTTCGAGTTTATTTCGATATAGCTCAATTGGTCATCACCAGACTGCAACATATTTTTCAATATATATTGGTCTAAGATTTCAAAATATATATGGCTATATTTCTAACATAAATGATTAAAAGTGATAAAAATATTGCTATAATTTGGTTTTTTTCTAACTAATACTATTATATGATAAATATTAATAGTATTCTATTTCGAATATGCAAATTTGTTTTCAAAACTGAAATACGCATCGTTCCCATCCCACAGAACGGGAGGTTATTTAGGGTTCGGAGAATTAAAAATTTAATTTGAATTTCAGAACCTACAACTTGGAACAGATAAGTTACGAAGGTTTGAAAGATATACCACTCTCGGAGCCGGTTCCTCCTGTACTGTGGGATGGGAGGTTACTTAGGCTTTTCGCTAGAACAACCCCGACCGTATGCTCTCCGGGCTGACGGTATACGTACACCGTTCGTTTGGCACCGTCACCGTCACCCAGTGTGTTTCACCGTCACCGTCACCCGGGGTATCGCGATTCGCACCCAATACGACTCTGGCCTGCCTTCTCGTCTAGCATTTCTTGTGACTCACTTTCGGATTGACGATGGCGGATCAGGCGACCTCGGAGGTGGCGATTTGTCGAATGATTTCTTCATTCTTCTGCATTCTGAGTTACGATTGTCGGGAGAGTTGCGTTTGTATGGGCCAGGGTTTTTACTGTCGTCGCGGCTTTGAGAGAACTGGCGGGTTTCGAATTTTGTTTGGTTTCCTTCTTTCTCCTAGTCCTTTCTAAAAGCTCGATGTCAGCCTTGCTCTCCGTTTCTCTACCCGTCCCTTCCCAGCACTGAACCTTGCATGCTGTTTTCTCGTACGTCTGGTCTCCGTTCCTCTCCCGTCCCTTCCCAGCTTTGAACCTTGCACGCTGTTTTTCTCGTCCGTCTGGTCTACCTTTTACCTGCAGTGGCTTTCGGGATCGTCAACCCGGAAGAGTTTCAGGAAAGCGCAATAGTCCCGACCCTGTCATAAAGCGTGTATGTTTCCCATTATCCACCTCCTCAAATCCGTGCCCACGTCTACATCAAATCAGTGTCGATGAATTGCTGCAGTAAGTGGTGATGGGTGACTTCCTGCAATTTACTGAAGTGGGCAGTGCCGAAGAAGAAGTTTCCTCGAAGTGCCATGGTGGAAACAGAAAACCTCTCTCGAATCTTCATCACAGTTTTGTGTTTTGATTTTCTGGGAGTCCATGGCAGACTCGATGATTTTGTTAAAATTGCGAAGCTGAAATGAAAGAACCTGAATTATAAAAAAGAGCATGCTGAGTACTCAGATTTCAGACTATTCACCAGTTTAAACCCCACCACATCATCAATCTTGCGACCAGATACAGGACTGCTGCCATTCTGCCAATTCTGCACCACCTTGCCAGGCACGCTGATTCCAAGGAATTGCCTAGGTTCAGCGAGCTAAGTGTCTCAAAATGTCCTAAGATATACTTTCCCCTACCTGATCTCAGCGTGGGCATATGTAAGAACTTAAGGAACTATACTACTGCAGCCTCGAGATCGATCCTTTTTTAATAAACAGTTCTTTTAAGTCTTTCAACTCCCACAGTGAATCGTATTAAGCTATTCTGTCATTGAGAACAAGATCCGGACTTGTGGGCATATGTAAGAACTTAAGGAACTATACTACTGCAGCCTCGAGATCGATCCTTTTTTAATAAACAGTTCTTTTAAGTCTTTCAACTCCCACAGTGAATCGTATTAAGCTATTCTGTCATTGAGAACAAGATCCGGACTTGTACGCGAACTGTGTTGACTCATGAATCTTTCTACTCAGAAGCTCTGATTTCCTTGTTTGGTTTCGTTGGATGGATGCTCTAACGAAGGAGCGTTCCGAAAATTTTAACAAGCCGCTTCTGTGTCCCGCACACGGAATGCTTTAGTAAAAGGCGAAAGATAGTTCGCTCTGGACAGAACTTCGGCTGGTATTCTCATCAGCCGAAGATCCAAGAGTATGAACCCCGCAGAAGGCTCTTGTGGCGCGCACATTGTTCCATGCGCCGACACGTGTCCATGTGTATAATTTGAATTCCAGAGGGTCGCGTCAAGAAGTCACCCGTCTTGACGCGACGGTGTCAAAGGAGAGACCGTCACGACGGTGACCGTATGCCGTCGGCCCACAGTCATACGGTCGGGGTTGTTCTAGCCTGCAGTTTACTTAGGCTTCGGATAATTTAAGATTTAATTTGAATTTCAGAACCTACAACTTGGAACCGATAAGTTCTGAAGGTTTGAAATTTATACCACTCTCGGAGCCAGCTCCTCCTGTACTGTGGGATGGGAGGTTACTTAGTATTCGGAGAATTCAAAATTTAATTTGAATTTCAGAACCTACAACTTCAAACAGATAAGCTACAAAGGTTTGAAAGATATACCACTCTCCCAGCCAGCCTCCTCCTGTACTGTGGGATGGGAGGTTACTTAGGGTTCGGAGAATTTAAAATTTAATTTGAATTTCAGAACCTACAACTTGGAACAGATAAGTTCTGAAGGTTTGAAATATATACCACTCTCGGAGCGCGGCTACTCCTGTGGGATGGGAGGTTACTTAGAGTTCGGAGCATTTAAAATTTTAGTTTGAATTTCAGAACCTACAACTTGAAACAGATAAATGCTCGGTGCTCTTCAGTGCTCGACTCATTCTTTCCAGGTACAGTTACTGATCGTGATTGCTAAAGACGTGACTTCAAGAGTGGAAGAGGAAGGCAAAACCTCAGTTTTGATTTATCAAGAGGAGAGTGCACACACTCACGATCGATGGTTCCTTAGCTGTCACAGTATCTACTATTGCATAGTTTATGACGTTTCTAGTGGTGTCAAGGTGCAGTTTTTTCAGGAAAAAACCACTATCACAATAAGAGGGAAAGATGAAATTCTGCTCAGGTTCTGCTTCGAAAGGTACATATTCGCATTCCCATCTCCAGCTATGAACAGGGCCTTAGATTCTAGGTTGGTTTGATGTTTTTTTGTCATCGACAAGTTCTTGTGAAACACAACAAAAAGAACCAACAATAAATTTCCAAACCATTGATTGTATCGATGGCGGTTCTATAAAATCAAAGGTTTGAAAATTTATTATTGGTATTTTTTCTTGTGCTTCACAAGAAATTTTA